ATAGGGAAATAGGGATGTTCTAGATTTCTGGATTTAGGGAAAATCTGGGATTTCTCTGAGAATTGGGAAAAAATGTTCATTTAGTAAGAACAGTTCCGGTTATTATATTTTCATTCGTTATTATTATTATGATTGATAATAAATAAATTTATCAATGCGAATACCCGCACCCACCTTTTCAATGGTTGGATGTTGTGTAAAATATGAGATTTTTTTGCATATACTGTAGATTAAAATAAAAATTTAAGACTCCAAAAGGAATTTTTTAAAAGAACTATTTTTTATCAACTAACGAAGTCTTTCCGAAAAATATTTCTTATTACCACCGAAGTTATCTCAATAAAAATGGAAGAAACGAAAAAAAATAACGCCCAGCTATTTTTTCTATTGTCAGTTAATAGAGACTGAATAATACTACTGATTATAAAAGAAATCTTTTTTTTTATATATATAAAAAGTATTTATTGTTCTACGACATTTATTGTAGTATGATAATAAATATTAAAATATATTTCTTAGAAAGGCTTTGCTAGTATAAAGCATATGTAAAGATTGCCTTTAAGAAAAAGTTCTTTTGGAGTTTAAATTTTTATTCAACTACTATGAGCAGACGACACAGCAATTCCGACAAGACTAAAATCCTACCCACGCCTCACAGACTCTACAACATCATCTAACAAAACTAAACGAATGGAGCAAACTTTGGAAAATTTGACTCAACATGACCTCCTATTTATCTTGAAAATGCTGAAATTCCGCACAAAGATCAAATAAGATACCTTGGACTGACATTCGACAGAAGAATGACATGGGACTCACATATCAACATAAAAAGAGAAATGTTAAACCTCAGACCACGACTATTATACTCACTTCTTTTAAGACGCTCAAAATTAAAATTAAATCAAAAACTGAAAACCTACACTTATCTACTATAGTCTATATGGACCTACGCTTCTCAAATATACGGAACAGCCAAAACGACCCACATACAGAAACTACAAACCTTTCAGTCAAAAACTTTTTTGGACCAAAACTGAAGCTCCATGGTACGTCACAAACATCACTTTACATAAAGATCTTAACGACCATATACGGACATACTACAAAAAATTTCACAATAACTTACATGGACATGCTAACACACTGATACAAGACATGGTATCGATTGACATGTCCGAAAACAAGCTTCGGGAGCTCAAAAGTAGTTAGATGAGGATTCCCTCACCTAAAATATACTGAATTCAAGTATAGAAGGGACGCAGCTGGTCATTCCTTTCCCTCACTCCGATCAAGCCACTATCAGTATTTTCCCGACAGCAGACTCGCTAATTGTCAGTACTTCTGACAGGTGTGGATGAAAAAATATTTTTAATCTACACCCCATGCAAAAAAAATCTCATATTTACATATCCATTTTGTTAATAAAGGAGGCTCTTATAGTCAATCCTACAATTAGATATGAGACGAACCATATATGGTTTGGAAATAGAGTGGCGATTACTCTTTCAACTGTTATTTTCTTTCGAAAAGCTAGATGTTGAAAGGTAATATATACAGAGTATGGTGTAGTCCATTATTTTGGACTCATTGGGAATTCTGCACCATCACCTCTATTAAATCAGATCATTGGTTTATGGAACCGGGTGACAGAATTGGGAGAAAAGAAAGGAATAACAAATGACATTTTTAAGCTGTGATATTGTCCTAGTAAATTATTAAGTACATTATATATTTACAATAAAATTGTAATGCTGCTCAACTGTGTTGAGTTGTTAACTGACACAAATTACTAATCTATCTGGTGGACAATATCACAGCATGAAAATGTCATTTCTTACAACTTTCTTTTCTCCCGATTCTGTCGCCCGGATCCATAAAGCAATGACCTGATTTAATAAAGGTGATGGTGCAGGATTCCCAATGAGTCCAAAATAATGGAGTCCGCCATACTCTGTATATCTTACCTTTCAACACCTAGCTTTTCAAAAAACAGTTGAAAGAGGAGTTGTCTCTCTACTTCCAAACCACATATGACCAGATTAGTATGCTGTGACAGTTAACAACTCAACACAATTGAGCATCATTACAATTTTATTGTGAATATATACTATATTTAATAATTTGATAGGAAATAGTAATAACCTTCAGTGGTTAAGTCTCTATCGTTCGAAAAAAAATCTTTTTAATAATAACACTTTACTTATCTCTTATCAGACTTCTTTTGTGAGAAGTCATTGAAAATAAAATAATAAACAGAGAAAAGTTACATTAAATTATTTATGAATCTGATCTTTATGTGTCACCTCGGTAACGACATAATAGTGAAGTATTAAAAAATCTAATATTACGGTGATAAAAACTTATCGGAACCAAGCAACCCCTTTTTAATCACCCAATGTAAAAAAAAAAAATCCCTTTTTAAGCTCGGGCTGTCAATTTTGAATGAGGTGCATGTTGTATTATATTTGATTGCATCTTTATCTAAACCCCTGTCTTTGGAGTGATTTGGACTTCCCTAATTCCTCGGTTGAAAGCTCCCTTGACGAGGAGTAATTCCAGACCCGTCTTCGATTTTGTGCATCATTGTTTGCGTTCCTTTCTAGACCTTGATTGAACCCAACCCATTCTGCAAGAAATGCCTGCGACCTAGTAAACTTCATTTCATTTTATTAATTCCTGTTGGTTCTGCTAGTGTCCCGTTGATTACTATTTTTAATGGATATTATGAGCATGTTACATTTTATCATATAATGTTTCTTATCGAATTGTCATGAATTTATTTTTGGGCTGGAGAACCTGTGGTAGAACAAATGTAGCATTTCATCAGTATCCTGTAGATTGTGTCAATATTTTCTAATACTGAATAAGTGTGATGAAAGTCACACAGTCCTCATTGTTTATGTAATTAAATGTGATGATGTATAATATAACGTAGATGGATGTACATTTTATTTGTGATTTACTACCAACCTACAACCAACTCCACAAACATTTCCGAATAAACTAATTTTTATTATTTTGAGTTTTGTATTTTATTAAAAAATATATATTTTTAAACTGAAAAGTGGATGGTCAGGTGGTTAAAGGTAATAAGTGGAGTAATTAAATTATTTCTAAGAATGACGGCGTCAAGTTTGTATTTAGGGGTTTTAAGGCGTTTAGACGTCAGGATCATCAACGCCTACAAATTAATTTTGTTTATCCCAGGATTAAATAGTGGCGTAAAGGGGTTCCTTTTAATCATTCACAAAAAGTCAACATTGAGTTCACAAGCAAGTTAGTAGAGATGTCCATTGAAGACACATTTCAAAGTGAATACAGGAAGTTTGAATTCATTTTTTCTGTGAACTCAAAAATGTTACTTATCACTTGACCATTCAAATATTCATGTGATTCAAAATTTATTTGTGGTTTTGAAAATCCCTTCATATGATTTAATATGAAAGGATATACATACATTGTTATCCATAATGATCAGGTTATATTATGTATACATTTTTATTTTATCGGACCACTAAAAATAAAACATAAGAGGTTCTATACAGTTAATATTATCATATATTTCTATTTTATTTGTAATCATTTTTATTCAAATAATTTTCTAGAGTTTTCCTATTTTCTAAGTGATAGTTTTAGTTATAGCGCAGATACCTTTTTTTATAAAGCCGCATTATAATTATAGGAAATCAAGGAAGAAAAGAGTGAAAACCTTCGAGTTCTTATTAATTTTAATTCATCAAATTGGATACAAAACGAAAAGTTTCTTCTCAATTTCCAAATTCGCACTTTGCGTTCGAAAAACTTCATCAATCATTTTTAAATTTACCAGCTATTTCATTTCATAATTAGAAGTTAATATATTTTATTTATTTAATATAAGACGAAATTCAATTAAAACCGGCAATATTCGAAGATTATTTTTTTAGGATCATTGTAAAGTTTCGTAGGTAACTACAAAAATGAAAAAAAAATTCAAAACTTTTATTTTTTTCTTAGAACTTCATAAATACAGCAGTCGAGGTTCCAGAAACAAATTCGAAAAAAACTACGATAGAACATAACGGTAATTAAAATATATATATTTTATGAATAAATTCAATCCTACATATTCACTATAATTGCGGCTCTATGAATTGTCTCTATATAATGTTATTTTATCATGTGTATTATTCTATACGTGTTTTATTTTTATACGTATTTTCTCAGTATCTTTGAGTGGGGGTGAGAATTTCAATTTAACTTTACTAATGTATTTTAGTAATTTTTTTTTTTTCAATGAAGATATATCAACTTGATTTTTAACAGAAGATATTTTCCTTAGTATGGATTTAACCGGTTTACATTTTTACGTATTGGGAAAGGGAAAAAATAATCAAGCCTAACCTTACCAACACGTCTCAATCAACACAGCTCTACCGGATATAAATAAGATTGTCAACACTCGGCTACTTAAGGTAATCAGCGGCTGTTTTATTTGAAATCGGCTGACATGGTGGAGTACGGAAAGAAACTAGTACGTACATATATATAAGTTTCAATTAGACCTATTCGATTAAATTACCGATAGCTAATAAATTAAATCTATGTATAGTAATGAACTTGTTTATTGCAACAAATTTTGTTCTTTTTTTTTTTTTTTAATTTTTTGAGATTAAGCACCAACAAATTAGAGAAACAACTTCTTCCGAAGTGGCAAGAAAATAATTATGATCGGAATGAGACAAAAGTGTTAATAAAGATCGGCGCTACAAACCTATAGCATTAATAAAAGTTAGTTTGGTTTAGTTTGCTCCATCTTATTTTGTTTCAATTTCACTTATCATTGCTAAAAATTAATGTCTCACTGATTATTGAGAAGTTCTTCATACTACTGTTAGTTTAGAATAAAAAAAAATATTGGTTATCACATTTTAAACGAACAATTTATTTTATTTTAATCTTTTATAAGTTATAGATACACTGACGCGCACAACGTTCGTTACAAACGAATTATCAATTTAAAACTTAGGTCTCTCTGTAAAACTTAATTCTTCTGTGGAAAAATACTGTTCCATTATTTCATAGGCTTTATGATAAATTTCATGGTTGCCATGGGACTGAAGTTCTTCTATTTTTTCCAAGCCACCACATTCTTCTATCGTAAGGGCTACTTCATTGTATGCTCCTTCTTTTTCCACCTTTTGTTCCCTTAAGGATAGCAATTTTTCAAGGCAAAGCAAAGCCGCAAAAACTATTGAAGCATTTGAAGAAGTGAGTACATAACACAGTTTGTTGATAACACACTTTTCAGTTAATCGAAGTACTTGTTCTAGATTCCCACGCTTAGATATATTTCTAAGAGTATACACAGCTTGTTTACAAACCCTATCAGTATCCTTACCTATAGAAGACAGTATTTTTGAAATGGTCAATTTGTCATTTATGATGTAAGAAATGTGTTGACAGTTCCCTAAGGCCATATTGGCAACGATACTGGCAGACTTGAATCTATATGATTCTTTTGGGGAGTCTAGGAATCGCATTAGGGCATGAAGGACGTCACACTCCATCAAACTATTGAGATCACATTCTTTGCCTAAGGAAACATTGACGAGAATTTTAAGCAAATGGGGCAAAATGCAATCCTTTTCATTTGCTAGAAGCTTGATAACAGATGGAACAATTCTGTTTTTAATGATTTGCCCAATTCGTTCCTCGCCATCAGACAAATGCACAAGTGCCAAGGTGCAATTGTAGATGAAGTCAACATCATCATGGCTGAGAAATCGGCCTAAGACCGGGATCGCTATCGAAATACTCTTGAAATCTTTGTTGTTGATGCAGATGTTACAGACGGCCCATGCACCAGTCTGCAAGAGCTTCAAAGAGGCGGTGCTTTCCATCATCTGTAGGAGGCTGTACATGGCGCCCAACTCCAGAACGTAAATCCTGAAGTCATCCATATCCCCGGCGATGTTGCCAATCGCCCAGGCACATTGCTCTTGGACGTCCTCGCTGCTCGATGAGAGAAGTCGGATGAAGCAGGGTACAGCTCCCGCCTCTATCACGTACCTGACGTGGACGGAGGATCCCGAGAGTATGTTAGTCAGTGACCAAGCGGCCTCGTACTGCATCAAGTCGGATTTGCATTTCATCAAGTGGACCAAAATGGGGAGTAGGCCGGCCTGCAGCACATCGTCGATGGGAGGCTGTGGCGAAGAAAGAAGCTTCCTGATGAACTTGACACCCTTCATCCGGTCCTCGGGCGAGCCATAGTACATTATATCTATAAACTTCTGGCTAATGATAATGGGATTGGATTTATTGTCCTCTGAAGCATTGATTTCCACTTGGGAATTGAATTGGGCGTCTACATTACTGCGGCTTCTCGACTTAATTGACAAATTATTGGTATATTGTTTCCTGACCTTGTTTCCAAACTCTTCAAACCGCTTCTTCAAGTCACCCCCTCCATAGGACAAGTCTTTTTCTTCTGGCTTCCCGACTTTTTCTTGATCTCGCATTGAAGCACCTATTCATTCCAAGAAGAAATTAGTATTTTTTTTTCTTATTTTCTAAAAAAAGGAACTATAAATGATGAGAAATACCTACATAACCTGAAACTTAAGGTATTTATAAGTATTTACACATGTTTGAAACCTGTAATATAACCTTTTCACTTTGAAATATTGGTCTTACACAGAACATTTCAGTACTGAAGAACTCTAATTCGTACAGTATTTTTACATGTTATATTATGTTTTTAATTAAATTGAAATACCTACGTACTGATCATATCAAATGTCACTACTGTATTTTATATTATTATTAATTGTAATTCTATGTCATTGGTATGAGGACTTGTGTTAATTAATTTTAAATTTTACAGTTTTGTTATCAGAAGACTTAATAATAGGCTTTATTTGACAATATTTTACGTTGTAGCGTTTGCGTGGAACCAGCTTAGCAATCAGGGAGCAGGTCAGTAGATAACTTAACCCTACCTGAATTTTTCAAAAACCTCTCTACGAGAATAAGTGTTTTTAAAAAGGCATGTGTGCCTCTAAATTATAACGACAAAACTTCTTGTAAGAAAGTTAATTTTTATAACAGTATTTTATTTTAATTTAAATATTCCACATTAGAGCAATATTGCTTTTATTATTTAAAAGGATCTTATCTCCTGAAATTACTAGTTAAAATATATAATACAAAGATTAAAATTGGTCTTTAATCAGTTTTATTTTTTCAACCTCGACTCGATTTTCAGTAATCGATTTTTTTTACATATGCTTTTTTAATCTCAAGTAACTAATCAATTGTAAGAAATTTATTCTATGTATAATTCTATTGTTTGAATATTCATTTAAGTGTTTAATATATATTGAAGAATATTTTTTTAGTTTGCAAAAATACCATTTATGGTGTACCTAGCAGGAGTAATTATAACCTCCGTTAAATATTAGTTATTTATAGAATGGTACTAATTTCTTGTGAAAAATAGTTTATTAATTTGTTTGCCGCGTCTTGTTCACCATCACCAACAAAATGTAATGGAATTGGAACTAGAAATATGGGGGAAATATTTCTAATTATTCCATATTTTTTTCCTCATTCCAATGTTTTTTTCAGTTATCAGTCTATATTTATTAAAAAACTAAAACTATTCATATTTATTCATATGTATTTCGACAGGTTATATTACTTATTACCATTGTCAATTTATAATATTAATATATTTTATTAAATTCCATGTGAAATAAAGTCTAAACTTATTACAGTTTAGATTAACATATTCAATATTTAGCAAAAAGTCATATGTAAATGACCGTGCAACGTATATTATTCGCTACTCATAAATCAATCACTGTTGGTTCTAAATAATGAAGTGTTAACTAGCAATATTTTAACAGTAATTTAATTAAATTATTAGCCTGGTAAGTGAAAAATGTTTGATGTGGCAGGCTGATTTCTTTTTTATTTTGAAATCTAATATATTTATTTATAAATATCTGATTTTTTTTTTATTAATCCAGAAACATTTTTACATAGACCGATTTTTAAGTAGACATTGTTAACCGATCATCACATTTTTATTAAATCCTGAAGCAATATTGAGTTGTTACCTTATATATGCTTCCTAGCTATACACCGTTGACTTAATTGGACTGATTCTGGATATGATTTCGTCTGAAGACAATCGGTCATAAAATTTCTTCGTCAAAGAATTATTATGCGTAAGAGATTCACGATGAATTCGAATTTTAATTAAGATATAGATTTACAAAAATAAAAATCTGTTTTTATTTCGATAGTTATTTTTATTTATAATTTGTCAATCCAAGTCAACAACATCCATTTATAATTTGTCAATCCAAGTCAACCTATAATACTTTTATATTTGTCACTGGTAACTTTAAGTGTTAAGCCATTGTATCTTTCCGAACAAGATCTACGTTAATCCTGGATAACAAACTCGGTTTAAAAGTTACTCGGAGGGGCCTAAACTCTAATAGTGGTTAAAATTTAACCAAAGTTAATAAACAGAGATTATTAGCTTAAATTTGTTTAATTTAATTTAAAAAATTAAAATTTAATGCTTAATTTTAAGGCATTTGATACTACAAACCAAAAAGTACTAAATATCATGCCCGTTTTGTTTTTTATGGTTTCATGGCCTAAAGCATATGGTCATCAACATCCGGTGTTTTTGTAATTTGCGATTTACGTAAGAAAAGAAAAGAAATAAAAAAGACGAATTAGGAAAAATAATAACAGATAGAAAAGCAGGAAGAAACGATAGAACAGAACAACATACAACTCTATTAAAGGAAGATTTTCGACTGTTCTACATATCATAGGTAATACATAGTCAGTTTTTATATCATTTTATATCATAGGTAATAGATAGTCAGGTAGGACTCAGTCAGTTTTTAGGATTTTTACTGTTCTATTTTTAATGCCAACGTTTCAACTCAAACTTGTAGGTCGTCATCAGGGCTAAACATTTTTTATGAAAGATATATTATGACATAATAGATAATGGGTAATTAAGATAAATAATGATGTATAAGTAATAATGATAAAGTGATAAATAGTGTAGAATAATGGGAATACATGATGAGATAGAAAAATGGAATACATAATAAGTCAAGATAATTTGTCGTTTTTCTGTTGGCATTACAGACCATGTGTAGCCTCAACAAGCCTGCTCCATCTCTGCCTGTTTTGGGATATTTCTTTCCATTTATCCGCTCTATTGCATCTTTGTTGATTCTATCTATCCATCTGCTTTTTGGCCTTCCACGTGCTTTTTTGCATTCTTTTGAGGCATTCATTGTTAAGTAGAGGTTTTCCTATGGATCTATCGTAATATATAACGCAATCTATAAGCTAAAATAATATAAATATTAATATAAGCTAAAATAATATACATAATAAATTTAAACAAATGTAATATTTAATATTACTAACCATGTTACCAGCACTGAAGGTGTTCAAGTACTAGTAGCTAGGTAAGAGGGTCATCTCATCATGTATTATTATTACTCTACATTAGTTATCATTTAATTATTATCTTCTATTATTAACTATTATATCTCTGATGTTAAAAAAAAATGTCAGCCTTGATAACGACCCAAAATCTTGGGTTAAAAAAATTGAAATAAAAATATTCATTAGAGTGCTACCAGTGGGTAGTTTCTCAACAAGCGTGTTTCATGTAATAATATTTCTCTGTACAAATTTACTTGATGTATTCATACTAATACAGTTGTAAATATCATAATAAAAGTTTTAAAAAAATATATATATATATTCAAAACTGACTGTTTTCTGATTATTTATCACCCATTAAATGACTATATTTTATTAGATCTTCAATGTTAATGTACAATTTAAATCAAATTTAATGAATGTAGTTGCAGTATTTTGTATTGTCTAATAACATGATAGATATACTTTTTGGAACCCAAAACTACTTTAAAATATAATCCAATATTAAAGGTATTCTCTAAAAATATTTATTATGCTGAGACAACGAATACCATTAAGAAAATTTCGGAGGTGATTCCAGGTGTGTCATATCTCTTAATTGCCACTTCTTGGGCATATGCTACCACTGGATGCTGCCCATGGCTACACTGTTTTCTTAATTAGTTTCACTTTGCTAATTGGACTCTCACCTCAACTCACCATTTTTCCTCAATTTCAGTCGGCAAGAGAGTCCTATGGCAGTAAGAGCTGCTATACCTCTCTGAATGCTGTCAGCCAACTCATTTCCCTTGTTGCTATCCTTATGACACCACAGGGGAAGTTAGTAGACTTTCCTAATGCTTCTAGCATTTTAAAATATTTATGGTCCACCTCAAGTTTCTGCAAATTAACGTCTCTCTTAGGTGTGCCTTGAAAATGTATCTACTACTATAAAGAATGATAAGCGACGGATTTGGAAATTATATTTTTATTATTAGCCTCCAAGCTATTTTTTTTGTGGTACTTCTCATTTTGGTTGATATTTAGGAGGTATAATTTAATATATCTGATTTATAATATATATATATGTGTGTGTGTGTGTGTGTGTGTGTGTGTGTGTGTGTACCTATGACTAACTTATTATAAAAGCTTTTGCAATGAGCACTTTACTCATATTTTTTTGTGTGTAAGATGTTTTACTTTACACAACAGTAGTTATTTGTTTTTTTTTTTTTTTTTCCTTCTCCTCTCTTTCATATGAGTTATTGGCATTAAAATATAATTTATATTCCGTCAATGCACATTGTTATCTTTAAGAGAAAGAGAGTGAATACTTGTTCATAATTCCAGCATAACTTCTGCTGGCTTCGAGATTTTTTAGCTCGTCATTTACTACATTAGTGTTTACTTCTCTTAGTTTACACAACAGTTATTATAGATGTTTTATTTTCCTTACATCAACTACACTTGCAATTCCTGACAATGTAACAATAGTAATGAACTTCGTTTACTTAACATATATTTCTTTAATTGCTATGTAGGACAATAAATTGCAGTAGCGCATGATTAAAAAAAAAAGTGAAACTAAGTTTTAGAGAAATTAGGCACCACAAGTGACTTGCACCTCCGGGCATATATGCCCAGGTTGCCTTGCATTAAAGTTGGTACTGAAGATTAGTGTTGCAGGTAACTAGTGTTGCCCGAATGCGAGACCGAGACGAGTCATGGTCTTGCAAATTCAGTCTTGGTCATGGTCTTGGTCTTGCGCAAAAGTCTCGCAACAATCTTGCAGTTACTTATTAACTCATTACTATAGAGATATTACTGTAATTTTTTAGATAAAAGTAATCTAACTAAGCCCGAATGAAAAATTAAAGGAGTTAAATGGAAAAGTAGATTGGCTATACTAATTATAAGATTTTCAAGTATTACTAACTATTTTACCTTAATTTTTATTTAAAAAATCGAGTTTTTTTACCAGTCCTGGTCTTGGTCTCGCAACAGCTAGGTGGCCATGGTCATGGTCTTGCAAAGTGTAAGACCAAGACCG